TAATTTAGTTAATCTTCACGTAAATTGTATAAAAAATATCAAATATTTATTGATACATGTAATTATTATGTGTATAATGGTTATACCTATAGAATTTTTACCTTTTACCAAAGTTTTGGGCAGTTTTACCCAGTTTAGGACAGTTTAAGACAGTAAACAGTGTCCAAAACCCCAACCCTATGTAGTTTGCCGAAATATATTTCGGTTAAGGACATAGTGTTCTTTTAGTCTACGATTTTCTGCATAAAGATATTTTATGATTTGCCGGTCACGTCTTTAAACCTGAACCATAAAAAACTTTTGTGTGATGGACAATTGCTGCCAGGAAGACATTAATTTTCCTATTCTCAGCTCAAAATCACGCTGTAAAGCCAAAAAGATGAAGTAATTTAAATCTTTCAGTAGTAATGCGAGAAAGTTGTCAACTAACATCATTAAAAAATAGGCAAAATCTTGCAATTTTTAATCGATATCACCTGCCACGTCATTTGGCTGAAAAATGTGACGAGAAGATATCAATTCAAGATTTTACATATTTCTTAATGATGAGAGTTGACAACTTTTCCACACATAATGACTTTTTCTTCCTACCTTACATGGACTATAATACTAAGACTATACCATTTATTCGCCCTAATTTTAGTTTGACTTTCTAAACATTGTTTTATGCTGCAGAACTCTTGCAAGATGATGCCTGCGCATTATAACATATGCGGTTATTTTGTTAGTATTATATCAACCTTTTTAGATCGGTTCAGTGCTTATAAAAAATGTTGACAAAAAATAAGTTATACTGTATTTCTTAATTTTAACTTTTCATTCACAATACAGCTCCACTTTCCATAGATAAAACTCAATTTAAAATTAGTCACATTTTCCATGTTTGGCCAAATTTATTTAATGAATGAACATACAGCAGTTTTGTCTCTAATTTTCAGTTCATAATTTTATTTATGTAAATGTGTTCTTTGCTCCAAATTTGCATATTATTCCCTTAGTTCTTCCAAATGTAATATCTTACTTCCAACTTTCCCCATGCTTCCTGAACAGAAGTAACTGAATTCAGCTGAAACCAAAATTGCCTTAATTAGGCATTGTGAGAATTTAAATACAAGCAAAAGGAAATCTAATATTAGCAAAAACAGAACTTCATCAGGGGGCACACCGCTCTGTCAATGGAGCCTCTCTGTTGTCGGTGGTGAAACCAAAAACTGAGAGTGCCCTGAGGCACTCTCAGTTTTTGGAAAAGAGACTGAAACAAAAATGAAAATCCAATAAAATACATGTCGTAATTGTAATTTTGACTTGTGTTTCATAAAAATTTCTTTTTCATTATGGGGCCTCGGGGCACTGTTGGTTTTTGGTTTTACCACATATAACAGAAAAGCTCCAGCATGTTGGCAGGGTGGTGTATCTTCCTTTTGCTTGTATTTAAATTCTTACATTTGCATTTAAAATATAAATTATGTATATTTGTTATAATTCAAATACCATTTCAGATGTTGTTCTATGCACAGCTTGTCATCCAACTGAAAATGTTATTGCGTCTGCTGCATTAGAAAATGATAAAACTATTAAAATCTGGAGAAGTGATTCATAATAAGAATTTCATAAAGTTCCTTTTTATATTAAATCATTGCTTCTTTTGTTTAGTTATTCATGTTGTAAAAATATCATTGTTGGCTTGCTATAATTGTGCTAAATAAAGTTTTTTTTTATGTATGTGTTTTCACTGTATATCATAAAATCAATTCTTTGTTACTCATGGGATTTTATTTGTGACGTCAGATAAGAGCATATTTGGCCAATCAAAACCTTTTTTTTTTACATATCACAAAATGTTTACAAAAATACATGCTTTTGATTGGCGTTATTTAGCCATTGTAATTGCAAAAATTTAGCTCAATTTCGTACTAATGTCAGCAAGGATATGAATTTTTCGCAGCTAGATGGCAAAGTTAATTAGAAAACTGTTTTCTTCATGTCAGAAAATAAATCAAATGGGCTGAACGATATTTCGTCTGACCATTGGAGGGGGGGGGACATTTAAAGCCATTTTAGGTTCCAGTCACTTTTCTTGTTATATATCTATAATGAGGTGAAAAATTTAAATACCTTCATAAAGTTCGGTATTCGTTACTGAAATAGTGAAGCAGAGGGGGTCCCGGGCCTCAATTTGGCTAAGTCGGGCCTGCTCCTCCCCCATAAATTGATCAGGAGAGTGTTTGAAAGTTTGGACCCCTTAATGTTAAGAACTGAAAAATTTTTGAACACAATTATAAAATTTGTTTATCCAAAGATAAATTTTAGTAAATAATAGTCCAAAAAATTGAATAGCAAGGTATGCAAGTTTTTACATCATTTTAAAAACTGTAATTTTACATGACAAAATATAAAATTTGAGCAAATTTGAATTTTAAAAAAGCCTTATATTTAAAATTTGATTTCTCAGAAACTATTCAAACAATTTCGCTCAAAATTTGCATTGCTATATAAAATTGCGCGCTTTGTAATGTAAAAAATTGCATATCTTGCAATTCAATTTTTTTTTACTATGTAAATATGGAAATTATCTTTGGCCAAACAAATTTTATAACTATGTGTAAGAATTCATCAATTTGCTTAACATGGCGAAATAAGCATTAAGGGGTCCAAAACTTAGAACTGCTCTCCTGACCAAATTATTGGAACTAAATTTTCCACATTGCAGTTACCCCCAATATTTTGGGGGTTAGATATACAAATCTGTTCAGAGAAACAGACAAGTTTATTCAGAGAAAGGACTTTTTTGTAACTTAAAATATTGTCTGCACTATTTGATTGGTATATTTGAGGTCACCCCCTCAAATCATTAAGAATGAATCTTAGCAAGTAAAGATATAATCATTAGATCAAATAGTAATTGTAACAAGATATGTTATGAAACACTTGTTTGTTGCCAATTAATCAATCAAAAGTCCTATTTAATGATCGTGGAAAAATTTCCCTACATCATTACCTTCATAGCACCAACATGTGCAATGTTTATAGTAGTGATTTCAGAAGGTGAGTTATTTCCTTTTTGTTTTAATTTGTTAGTAAAATTGATTGATTAACATTGTTTATTCTTGATTCATATGAATACCTGTTTTGCTTCACCTGTCCTGATAGATATTTTAAACACTAAAAATATTTTTCCAAAATAATAGACAGCTATAATAAAATCAACGGTATATATATTCAAAATATATATATATACATACTTTATTACAAATTTTAGTATGAAAACATTTCTGCTATATAATCTTAGCACTTACAAATAAATTCTATTTGTACAAATAAATCCTATAAATCAAAGAAAAATAATTTTAAAGTTCAATAGAAAGAACGAACCAGCAATTAGTAAAATCTAGCTGCATCAATTAATAGCGATGGAATATGATTTGTTATTGCCTGAAATGGAATAAATATGAATGAGTATAATATTATTATAACAAATAAGTCTTATTTAAGTTTGTGATTGCAAATCTTACCTTTCTCGGCAATTGACCATATCTAGCAAACTCTTCTAGAAAAACTAATGCGTTTATGATATCAGAAGGTATATCTAATTTATTACTTTCCCTGAAAAATAATAACTAAATTTCAGTTTTAGAGAAACATATTTTTAAACATCTATCAACAATAAATATTGTAAAATAAATGTATAACAATTTCTAGCAAAATAAAATTTCTTAAAAATAACTTATTGCTAACTAAAAAACAATTAAAAATGGTTCCTAAAGCCATGAATATAATAGTAAAAATTGCTTCCTACGGACAAATGTCTGTAATAAACTCATAATGGTTATTTGGTAAGTCAACTAGATGATGTTTTCATTATTTTATTTTGAAATCTATGCCGGTATGTGTTGTTAAAATATCCATTTTTAGGAAATAAAAACAAAATAATAATGATCAAGAAAATCGAAGTAGAAAATAAAACAGAATTTTAGTGTCGGAAGTTTTTAACATTTTAAATACATATTAATAGATAAATAAATCAAGCTTATTTGAGAAATAGCATTATTTTTGAAAGTTTTTATTAATTTGACTTGCTTATTGTCAAATTTTCCTTGGCAAAACTTGAAAATTTTATATATATGTTACCGTCTTAAAGTGTAACTTGAACCGGTTTAACTAGGTATTCTATAGAATAACGATTAATTCAGTGTTAAACTATGAAATACTGTGCTCAAAAGTTTTTAGAACCGGTTCTAGCTGCTTGTAGTCAGTTTTGAACCGCTTACAGCTGCTTTGCAATGATGTGTGTGTACGCTTCATTCACTTGCTTTTTAGTTATTAATATGAGCATTAATGAATTATATCATCTGCTTTTCCTTATTATTTATCATTTAATCATCTCCGTAATAGGGATAAAATGTATTTTTTGAGAGATTTTAGCTATTTATGATCAATTAATTTACAAAATAAATTTGAAATAGTTTATTTTTCACTTTTACGGTCTATTACTAGTTATTTCATAGAATAACAAGATTAAGTATGAAATTTTTCATCTATTATATACTTTAACTGACTTGTCTAGTTATTTTAGTTATTCTAAGAAATAACAGAATCATACACTTTATCGCTAACATATATATGTATATATTAGTGGTTTTAAATGTAGAATTTTTTATAACAGCCTAAAAGAAAAAGCAATAATAGTGTAAGAGTTAATCAATGGAGGTTACTAGCGTCAAACAGATGGGCTATGGAATAAGCTGTTCAAAGCAACCAAAGCTGGTAACCGACTGTAGTGGATAGAAAAGCAAAAATTAGTTTAAATAATGCATCAGGGGTCTGTCCAGACATTTTGTGAAATTGTGAAAAAAATTATTCACATTCTTTCAACCAGGGTCCGCTTTTGTGAATTTGTGCAAATAGGGTCCGTTATTGCAAAAAAACTTTTTCAAGGAGTCTTTTAATTGTAAAGACATACAAGATTATGCTCAGCACTGTAAAATTATAATAAAAAAAAATTTAATTTTTAAAAATAAACAGCAATTGCTGCTTCTAAATTAGAGATGCAACATACAAATATTTGGTATTTAGCCTATACTGCTGAACACAGAATATTCACTTTGGAAGAATCGTCTGTCGAAGACAAAACTTAATTCGTTTACATCCATCTTTCTTTTTTTCTGCCCTGGGACGGGTTAATTCAATTAACAAAACAATAATGAAGATAAACAAATTTGTGTAGGGTCCGATTAAAAGAAAAATCATTTTGTGAAGGGTCCGATTAAAAGAAAAATAATTTCGTGAAGGGTCCGTTTTTACGTTAAAATATTTTGTGAAGGGTCCGTTAACGGACCCAAATTTCTTTCAAACAGACCCCTGTGCATGATGAAATTTCTGCAAAAAAATTCTGGCAATTTAATTTTGTATTTATCATTAATAATAATGTAATACACACATTTTAAAAATTATAATAATATATAAAAGCAATAATATTAATTTTTTATTAGTTATAATCTTATCCTTAGTTAAAATGTTCTTTAATCCTTAATTAAAAAATTTTCTACATTTTGTGATAGTAAGAGCTTATTGTTAGTTTTCCTCACTATCACTTATATATTGATAAATAATACTGCATAATCAAAACCATTTTAGAACCTCCACAACTTGACTTAATTTCCAAAAATTATCAATTAATATTCTGAGTTTTTTTTACACACAATGGTTGTATTTGATTTATTAAAGAAAGGGCATAATTTTAATTGCTATGTTTTTATTTATAAAGAAGAATTTCTGTTAATTTTTTGCAGAACATATAAAACCCAGGTACACCTGTTTTCATAGTTGAAGATTTTTAGTGCGCTGAAATGATTTATTATGAACTGCATTTTAATGTGAGTCTTGATTATTTCCAATAGATACATTGAAAATTTGTTCATTAATTTAGATTGACACCAGAAGTGTTAAAAAAATTTACCAATACAAAATGTGAAGGAGTTCTATTGTAAAGAATAATATATAATTCCCAAGACAGAATGTTATCAAGTGAGAAAAAAGCTATATCCGATTAGCTATAATTATTATGACCTATATATCCGATTAGATTATTTTATCTAAACTGGACTACAAAAATAAGCACTTTAATTGCATAAAATAAACTACATCAATCAACCATATAGTTAATAAATGATAAAGGTATTTTAACTTTTTTCTTACCCTAAGCCATCTACAACAGATCTTATGTATTGTCCCATATATGAAAGGAATGTATTTTTGTGCTCTTGATGAAACTGTTGGAGAAATGTAAGAGTTCCTAGTACGAATGGCAAGCCATCAATGGCATCAGTTGCTTTTCTACTAATAAGGATATCTAGGGAAATTTTAAAAACAGTTTGAGAAATATATAAAATAATTATGTTTTAAAAATATATTCCAATCTTTTCGCAATTTATATTGGCAGAAAGCTTATTTTTAAGATTACCAATTTAGTTAGTCACTTTGAGCAATGAAAGTTTTTAGGTAATAATTTGAGACTACAGTCTGCATCAGATGGTAAACTTACTAGCCAATGGAATCATTCCCTCATTGTCATCAAATTTTCAAAAATGGAATCATTTATGTATGATTACATTAAAACACTTTATATTGGATAATATAAATTAGTAACATTTTATTTAATAAGATCCATTTTATAACCGGCATTGAACAATCGAATTATGATTTCATGACTATCAATGTTCAATTTTGAGCCCAACCCAGAAGCCAAGGGAATTCCTGGATTAAGCATTGGGATTTAATAGCCTTTGTGGAGCACTTTTTGATGGAACTAACCAGCATTTGAGCTACATGGAGAGAAAAACCTTCTATGGTTAGCCCAACGTCAAAGGCATTCTAACCCATGATGCCTCTACCACTGAGGATATTTTATATCAGCACTGTGGTCTATGCGACCTGAAAGCAGAATTCATACCAAAAAGCCATCACTGGGATTTGAACCTGGGTCGCCTCATTGGGAAACGTCACTCTATCCTCTAAGTCACTGCGGCTCAAGTTAGCAACATTATAGCATTTGTACTTTAAACAATAAGAAACTTTTTATTCATATCATTTTATAAATGCAACAAGTGAGGCATGTGAATGTGAACAAATAAAAATGTTTTACTTTTTTAACTTTAAAACTCGCTTGAGGTAACTTGTAAAACCTATTTTCCACGATGTTTGATGATACAAATGATGTTTGATGTTTCACACAAATGAAATATTTTTCACAATTACTGCTAAAATAATTTGCTTAAACTTGCTAATATTTGGTATGCACAATTAAAAATTAATATTTTAGTGAAATTATTTGTACATATAATGCTGTGCAAATTATAACAACAAATTATGATTTGAAAAAAAAAATGCTACACAACTATTAGAAAACAATTCGAGCTAGAAAATATAACAAAAATAAGTATGAAAGGTGTCATACCGATGCTTTTATCGTAAGCCATTTTTGGTAGTTGAGAAGTTATGAATAAAAATAGGAAAAGAGACATATTTAACAAAGGTCTAGTAGTTATATAAATCTGTAAAAAAAAGAAAAATATTTTAATAAATATTAAAATCGATGATAATAAAAAATGCACTGACATATTCTATAGGTAAATTGAAAGAAAATAAATACATAAATTCAAATACAATATTTAGTGTATTTAATGACAGGTCAGAATTACAAGCATGATTTATTTTTATTACATGCGTGTATAAATTAAATTATTAGTTAATTGATTTTAACAAATACTTGCAGATTAAAAATATTGCTCTCTGCTTAGAAAGCTAAACAATTTAACAAAAAATATGGTCAAAAATAGACGGTTTGCATATGTTTATCTTATCCAGCACTAATTTAAAAACTATATATATATTTCTCTTACACGGCGACAAAAAAAAGCCTCATTACAACTCCCCGAATGGCAACGCTAGAAAATCGACCAATGATTGCCGCTAAAAATGTCACATGCCAAATCTAGCTGAGATGGCTCAACATATAGCGCTTTTAAAAACGGAAACTGAAATAACATTTCAGCTGCGGCAATCTCATACTATTGAGCTAGGCAGAAGTGAGTTGTCTTTGTCTATAGATCTCTATTTTAGTATTTTGTCAAAAGCACTTTTTTTCACGAATTTATATATTACGAATTTATTTGACGATTTTCGGTTTATATCACGAACTTATTTGTTTTATTATTGTTAATAGTTATTCATTGAAAAATGAGTCTCAGTCAATGAGTCTTTACTTGAATTCAAATTTATTGCAATGACATAGTATTTACTAAAAATATGTAATTTTCAAAAATACAAAAAAGTTGTTATATGGATTTGAATGATTGTTTTAAATTCTTAGAATTTTGTGCATTTGCAATCTACCTAAGTTAGTAGCGAGTGAAGCGAGCTTGGTTTGCTTCGCAAACCATATAAGATTGCATAGCAATTTTCGGGGGTTAGCGAGCAGGGGGCGCAGCCCACTAGTTGTATGTAATTCTAACTTTTCTATTATTTCACTGCTTATAATTTTTTATATATATTTTATTAAGTTTGAGATAAAATAATTTGTATCCAAAATCTTTGACTTTTAATGACAAATGTACAACACATTAGTTACATAAATAACTGCATTCAACATAAGTAATATTATAATACAATTATATAATTAAAAATATATACTCTTTAATAATAAAAAAACAGCATTTACCTCAGCAACTGATGAATTGAAATAAGAACATTAATTTATAATAGTTGGGATCTGTACACAAATCTTACCTGGAACATATCCAAGAATCTTAGACCAAAAGACTAAATATTTTAATTTCACAAAAAAAAAAGACTCACTATTCTAGCTTCATAAAAAAAGTTTCACTATTAAAATGTGTTTCAAAAATAAGAGAAAAATAATAAAACCAAAATTTTGAAAATAGAAACAATGGTTAAATAATCATTTTAAATTTTCCTTGTTCTCTAATATCAACAGATCAAAAACTATAATTGCTAGTATCTCTAAGATTAATCATAGCAATAAAATTATATTTTAACCAATAATTAACAAATAGTACACTTTCTGTTTTTTTAAAAAATAAAAAAAAAACATAATTTAGCAATAACCATACAAAATTTAAAAAAAAAATATGAAAATTAAATGTTTTTAAATTGATTCTCAAATAATTAAAAACACAAAAAATGTTTCATTAACTTTTTTTAATGCTAATTGTTACATCCTAGGCTTAAACTTAGATTTTATTTTTAAGCAACACATAAAAATACGATTCTTAAAATATGCATCCCAACTCAGATGAAACAATGGCATTTTCATTAGTAGTTGGCAATGCTTTCTTTCTTCATTTTATAAGAATTCATCTTTTAATTCACCTTAAATATTTTTATTCCAGAATGAAAACTAAAAAAGTACTCAAATGTATTAATGAAATATTGTATATTTCATACTATAAATCCATTTGTTTATACGTAAAAAGTGCATTTAAAAATATTGCTCTAAATTCAAATCTCTAATTAGCCAAAGTAAAAAAAGAGTACTAACTATATTTGAAATCATACAATAATTCGTGTACATATTTTTCTCTTGGAAGTTATTAAAAGTGATAATGATTTGCAGAAAGTTTAAAAATGTTTTGAAGAGTAATTTTCAAATTAAATCTTGAATTAATATAACATAAGAAGAATTTTTCATTTTTGGTGCAAATTTCAGAATTTTTAAGTTAGCCAAAAAGATCTGTTTCCAAGATAATTTTCTACCTTAATTTTTTTTTAATGTTCCTGACTTATACATAGAAATACATGGTTATTAAAAAAAACTGTATCAAACATGTATACATTGAATTCGATGGTCCACTTAGATAAGTGCTCAACTTAATAAGGGAATGATTTTTTTTTTTTTCATTTAAAAGTGTTCAATGAAAGAGGTCACTTCAATATCCCATAAATACACTGAAATAAATACATTCAATTATTTCGAGAAAGAAATCATGGCAATTGGAGATAATTTATTTAGGAACTGTATTTTGTAAAAGATTAAAGTAAATTTTTCTAAAATAAATTTTTAATAATATATGTTTCATTTTTGCAGTGTCAACAATTAATAAACAATGTACTAATAAAGACTGTTTAAAAGGATAAACTTACTTTTGCTAGAGGATTATTTATACCAGACCATTCTAAATATGAAGACAACTCATATAACAATGGATTCGATTCTTTTGGGTATGGTTTGCTAGGATCCTTGTAGTGGAGTTCGATGTCCGCAATTAAAGCCCTTTAAAAAATTGTATATATATATTTAACAATGAGAATTGCAAGAAAAATAAAAAATGTGAAATATTATAAACATATGTACTGGTGTACAAAAACATAGTATGCATAAAATTCACTCCAATGTTGAAATCAATCAATACACTTTAAAATGAGAAAAAAATTAACTAATAGTCATATATGTATATGTTACTTTCAATGTATGAAATGTGGGAATCTTATATAATGCCTGGCATTTTAAGCAATGCATGAAATATGAAAATCATAATTTAACTAGGCCCTGTATACACTTACAAATGATCTTAATCTGTTTAGTACTAAAAAATGAAAAATCAGCTCTTCCCCCAAGTCCAAATGCTCTGAGAGTACACATACTAAAAATGGAATTGCATCAGTGGTTCCGATACTATGTACTTAGTACTTAGAAGGATCAAGTACATTAAACCAATACACCATTAAATGAACAAATTTAATTAGTATCAATTACTATTTCAAAATATTAAATTTAGTAAATTCTCTTAAAATATAATTCCTCTAGTAAATTTGTTTAAAAGAAAAGAAAATGAAAATAACTTAATCTTATATAATTAGCATTATTTATAATAAATCGTTGCATTCATAAACAGCTTATAGAACCGAGAATTCATAAATAACAAAATATGAATAAATTGTTGAGGGCTCTTGTAAGAAATAGGTTTGAAAATACAATAAAAAAAAATTTAAAGGTTGAAATAAATATGTTAAGTTTTTTAATTTACATATCTGTTCTTGGGAATTGTGTATGTGTGATAAATAACTAGATAATCAATTTATTATTTATGTAACAACTCACAATTCATTCAAATCTCATTCTTAAGACAAATGGAAATTTACAAAATAAAATTGTAAATTGTTGAGAAAAAAATATTAGTTACATTTATATATTTTTATTTCGGTAATGCCCGTTTAGTTACTCGGAGTTAACATGTTAATTGAAAGACACTATATTCAACATTTACTTAACATATTGGCATAAAAGATATTTTTGCAATGAATACATACATCTATTTTGTAATAAAAAACTTACTCATTAACGGTTTGAAGAGCACTTGCTAAGTGTTTGGAATCAAATTTACAAGAAGTATTCAATTCATAAGCTATACGTCGTCTCAAAAGTTGCATCTGCCCAACCTGAAACAAATTTTCGTTTCTTTAAAGAAATGGGGAATATCGAGAAAAAAAAAACAGTTCAGAGTATTACTTAACAAGATTTCTATGACACATGATATGAAAGTAAATGTTTTTAGAAACAATTTGGTAAGGTGAGTATTCAACAATTGGTAAGGTGGGGTTCACCTCAAAATATTAAATAGAAACTCGAATTTTTTATAGCATATTTGAATTTATCAGAATAAAGTATCCCAATTTGACAAACAGGTTATTTCAGTTTGGTTAATCAGTGGTGCATTAATTTCAAAATGTAGATGGCATAAAAAAAATTTCAAATTGAGATCACTAGAAGTACATGTCAGACCAAGAAAAAAAAATAATAAATTCTTTGATATTTTGAAAAATCTATCTAATAACACTAGACTTTACCCCTTCTCCAATGTAGGTTCCATCAGAGTCAAATTAACAACAGGGGTAGAGAAAAGTGATGAGAGGTGAGACTAAGAAAAAAAACTAACTTAAAACAACCATATGAACTAGTACTGTAGAGTCAATACCATGAACCGCTTTTTAAGGCTTCAGAATATACCAATAATGAAACATTTAATGCAATAACACAGGCCTGCGATGAAAAAAATACAAGGGGTCTGATAGCTGAACTTGATGTATTTTTTGGTGCTGAAATGAAAAATAATAATGAAAAATTTCTATCACGTTACGTTTTCTTGAAAAATTCAGTTTTACTGGACTTTATATGAATATTTCCAAAAAAATTTTGTTTTTTAATTTCTTGCCTGACCAGCATTCGACTTTGGTTAAATCAACAAAAATACCCCTCTATGACATCGTTTGATCACAATTCCTCTCTCTACCAATAGCTTCGAGAGAATTCTTATCTAGGTTCGCTGACCTCTCAGGAACACTATCAAGTGTAATAGGGAGTTCGAGACATTGTGAAAATTTCCCAGATGACTTTTGTCATATATGAGGCGAATATAGTGTTGTTAAAAATCGCATTAGAAAGATTACAAACTATGTAAGACAACTTTATCTTGCATATTTTGGCATGAAACTCAGAGACCAGGACAAATCACTGGCTGCTCATAAAGTTTGTCTGCAGTGTCTCAATGATCTATGCTTATGGTACCAAGGAAAGAAGACTGTTTCACGATTTGGAATTCCTATGACGCGGTGGGAGCCCCTAAACCACTTTGATGATTGTTATTTTTGTTCTTGCCATGTTCTTGGGTATAACCGAAAAATCAAAGACTAATATCTTATCCTGATAACATTCCATTTGCCATACACCCCGTTCCTCATGGACCTGATGTGTTTGTGCCTTTCCCTCCAACTTAATTGCCAATCATCTCTTCAGAGTCTTCAGACTCAGAACATCCGGAAGTTCAAGCCTCCGATATCGAATATGAGCCATCTGTAGTCGGCTCGCCTCAGCCCTTCTCTCAGGTTGTACTGTATAATCTGACTAGAGATCTGGGCCTTTTGAAAGAGGCAGCTGAATTGTTAGGCTTCAGATTGAAAGAAAAACACTTATTGGTCAAAGGAGCATCTTTTTATTGGTACAGGAATCTAGAAAAGGAATTTATTAAGTACTTTGATTAAGAGGAGAACTTGGTCTATTGTTCTGACGTTCCTGGATTGATGAGCAAATTTAATGTCATCTACGATAAAGATGAGTGCAGACTGTTTATAGATTCATTCAAAAGAAGCCTCAAAGCTGCCTTTCTTCATCATGGTAGCCAGTATGCATCTGTACCAGTTGGACACTCGGTATATTTAAAAGAATGCTATGAAAACTTGGCTCTCATCCTGGACAAAATAAAATATATCAACTACAATTGAACCATTTGCGGTGATTTGAAAGTTATCTCCATGCTTCTTGGTCAACAAGGTGGATTTACAAAGTTCCCATGTTTTATTTGTGAGTGGGACAGCCGTTACAAGACAGAACATTGGGTTAAAAAAGAATGGTCGAAAAGACAAAATCTTGACCCAGGCACCAAGAACGGTATTCGAAACAGCTTAGTTGATCCAAAAAAGTATTGTTACCTCCGCTACACTTAAAATTAGGTGTAATGAAGCAGTTTGTCAAGGCTATTCCAAAAGATGGTGATTGTTTCAAATGCCTGCGCAAAAAGCTTCCAGGTTTATCCCAAGCCAAGTTAAAAGGGGAATCTTTGTTGGTACAGATATCCACAAACTCATGAAAAATTAAGATTTTGAGACTAACATGACAGGAACACGGAAAAAGAAGCTTGGGTTGATTTCAAAGATGTCATCAGTAAATTTCAAGATAACTTCAAGGATCCTGATTATAAAGATATTGTCATGAAAATGCTGAAAAATTTAAAACTTTGGGTTGCTCCATGAGTATGAAAATGCATTTCCTTCACTCACATGTGGATTTTTACCCCGAAAATTTAGGAGCAGTCTTCGAAGAACAGGGGGAAAGGTTCCATCAAGTTATCAGAGATATGGAGCGTAAATATCAATTAAGATGGGACAGGAACATGCTCGCTGACTGATGCGTTAGCGGAGTAGCACAGTATTGAGTGAAAGTGTTAACTCACATAAAGAAACTTGAAGATTTAAACATTTCTTTATTTCATACAGTACCATCTCGATACAGCGTACAACTGAAGATATTTAAACATAAATATATCTTAACAAAAATGTTGGTACGTCACCGGAAACAACAACACAGTGACGTGACATAGTGAAGAGACAAGACAGGAAGTCGACAAGAACACATGCTTACAACAATGCATGCTTTATATACAGATTCCATAATCATATGCACGGATGACGTCACTTACGTTATCTGAAAAGAAAATGTCTGTTGCCACCACACGACCGAAACTTAATTCTGTTAACTCAATGTATTCAGAGGAGTAACAAACCACTCCAACACTGACTACTGTTGGATGATAGCTCGAGATACACCTGAGATTTAGCATAAAAAGAGATCATGAAAAATAAGTTTCAGAGGAAAACGAGAATGTGCTTAAATATAAACTTTTTTCGTTCGTTTGTTTTGTTTTTTGTTTCAAACTTTCGTGTACACCTACAGAATATTTGATATTTTTGGTCAATCGTCAATTTTACGCAAGTTATCTTAAAAAAATTATATAAAATGGTATGTTGGTGTTTTTCTTCTGGAAACTGATGTAAAATGTTTAAACACATAGAACTAATTGTCTCTCTCTCGACCAGACATGACTTGTGCGATCTGGCAACAGTATTTTTTATTCCTTTTGACCAATAAGAAATTAGCCGATCACTCAAAAATCAATTTACTTTCACAAGATTAAATTTTACATAGATCAAAATGAATGAAGACGTCAATTACCAGATAGTACATGCAAAATTGTTTGAGAGAATTCCTTTGCAAATAGGATTTTAGTAAAAACATTTATATCGATTTTACAAAAAATCCTGATGTGATTGAGGAAAATGAAGGTCATTTTCGTAATCAGCGCATCAAATAATATATAAATCAACAAAAACTTCTCTTGTATTTTTCAAAAACTTCAATTTCGCCGGCTTGTGTAATTATAAGACCAAAATTAAATGAAACAAAATTTTCATAAACAAAACAATAAAAATTAAAAAAATAAACTTTCCCTTCAGAATAAAAATTATCTGTATGCAATTCAGAGGAAATTTATATATATACAGTAGAATCTCGATAATTTGAGTTTCGGTTGTTCGAGTTTCCCATAAATTCAAACTAGTGAAAATAAAGTAAGTTTTACTCCCAAATAATGACAAACGCACACACAACACGCCGAATTGCTACAATTGATTTTATGATGATTACTATGACTGAATGTTGAAAAACGATACTGTGTGTTCAACTCTGAAATGTGTGAATAGTGTGTTTAAACAAATTAGACAATTATTTTAAAGTAGAATTAACCTGATACAGTAATATAATGAACATTGTAACTTGGTTTAATGTAGTAAATGTTCTCTGATCCTCTAATGTAAGTAAATTTTCTTGAAATATATTATATTTTTCAATTAAATACTGAAATTTAAAAATTGCTTTGTTTCCATTTATTGAAATATTTATTAAATTTTTACCCTTTCGATAATTCAATTTTTTGAAAGTTCAAAGTACGCTCGGTCCCGTTCACCTCGAATAATCGAGACTCTAATGCATATATATATATTTAAAGGTTTTGTATAAACCACAACTTTCAGACTTGATAGACATTTTATTCTTCCTGAGTTCCTCCTTAACTATGAGTCCTACCATATTTGGAAACATTTAGTTAAATCCCTTTTTTTTCTTTTTAAAAAATAGTTATACTAAAAGTTAGTTAAAATTATAATTATACATGTGGAAAAGAAAGATGTGCTCCGGCAGCACGGTCTGCAAAGGTGTTGTTCACTCTGCTTTTGGAGAGCCAAGCTGAGTTCGATCCCGCCAAATGACTAAACAACCAGCAAGTATACATAGCAATGTTAGGATTAAATCTATCATGGCTAAAAGTCCTCTAAATTAAAGTTACTATTGAAAATAAAAAATAAAATTTTTTTTAAAATTAAAGTTACTGTTGAAAGATAGAGCCTTTAAAATAGGGCTAGGTGATTAACTATGTTTAAGTGTTGTGTGAAAAAAAAATAGAAATATATTTATATGCTATAGTTATTAGCTAGTTTTCACAGCATTATTATTTAAAACAGCTATTAATAATCCTTTTAAAATAGCTGATATTTTTTTCTTGACTTTTTATTAAAAGATATTATGAATACTTCTATGCTAGAAACACACTATAGTTTTCCTTTTCTTGAACTGTAAAATTCCAAATAATAAAAACTCACTAACCTTCATTAAACTTTCCAAAAATCGAGGATATTTTGAAGCTTTGGACATAACAGGCCCATAAACACGAGCAGGTTGAGCTAAAAAAAATAGTTAAGATACATAAATAAGCTAAAATAAAGATAAATTAATTTATAAGGTGATAAATTTACTGAAAATAAAGTATAAAACATAATAACAAAGAGATAGTATTTAAGCAATAAATTAAATACATAATTTAAAGTAAAATAATTTCTAGATCATTTTCAAGTGAGAATTAGTCAAACACAATACTTAAAATTATGATACATTAAAGTAAAAATTACATCACTCATGTGAAAAATTATCATTCATTTCATTTTAAAATTAATATTTTAATAACTTTAAGCATTTTATTTTAGTTAGCAATATAGCTTAATTTCTTAATAAATTCTGATATTCTTAAATATCAAAAAGAAAAAATAATTAAATAATCTTTAGTTTATGAAAGAAATTGATAAATAATTAAAAATTACGTACAAGTTTTAGAAGAGAAAAATATTTAAATTAAAATGTGACACAAGTTTGAAAGTTCCAGGAAAATAACTTTTTATGTGAGTATTTATATATAATATAATATTTTATAAATGAATTCTTAAATACAATGGATTCTTAAAATACATGCCACTAGAACAGCATTTTTTCAAACATATATTTTTTATTTATTTATTTTGAAATTTGAGGACATTGCAAAGATATAAGCTGAAATAAGTCGCAAACCACATTTATTTCTTAAAACACCTATTCAAAAAATATATTACCCGTCCGCTGCTGTTTGTCAAGCAGGGCTTGACAAATTATTATTTTTTTTAATATTGTTTAAAATCATGTTAATAGTGCATTGTTAAAGTTTCTGAAAACTTTTAAAATTTACTTAAAAAAAACTTTTTTTCAAAAAAAAAATCTTGAAAGTGCGTAGTAGCTTAAATAATGGAATAGCTAAGTTAAATAAAAACTCTAGGTACAATCATAGAGAATGCAATTTTAAACCACATAGAAATGACAAAAGAATTGATTGAGATGTTTCTGTAAAACACTATACAACACCTTGTTCGAAGAATTCAGGAATATGATCAACAACTTTGTGTTCCAACTTATATCTTTGGAATGATTCTTAAAGTAAATAAAAAAAATTCAAAGATCCATTTTATTTAATATATGTATCTAATTTAAGCAGAAAAAAAAAACCCAGACAATTACTGGTTTTTAAAATTTTTGAACTAATGTCAGCCCTTTAGTCTTACCTATAATTTGCTTAGTTGGTTGTATAGCTATTTGAAGATTTTTAAGGGCTTCTTGCCATGATTTATCACCAATTATTAACTTTTCATAGATACGGACTAGTGTTTGAAGTTCTGTAACAATCATGAATGACATCAGTCTGTCAAGACCTGTTAATCCTGGAGTTCCTATGCTTTTCTAAATTACATTAAATACAATTTGAAAACAATAAATAAAAGACAATTCATACACTAGAATAATAACAATGATATTCAGGCCCCGTAGTGGTTCAAAATGAAAACAAAGACAACATTTTATAAATATATTAGAACATTTTTTAGGGCAATACATGCATGAATTATTAAGAAGAAGAAAAGAAATAGAAAAAATAGTGTAATCTGCTGCATTGAAAATTCCGTTTTGTGTCCTTTAATTCTCCACAATATTTAAGAAAAAATAGGGCAACACTCAATGTTTTCAAATAAAAAAAAAATTAAGATAGGAACACAATCAAAAAAAAAGAATTTTTTTTTAAATTACAATTTTCTGCACACGCACATACGATGAGAAATCTCAGATCCTGAATTTTCGTGACTTTAGAAATTGATTCCTCGATATAAAGATAAATCGAAACAAATCTCAAAGCTAAATCATATATAATGTATATACTACAGAATAAATGTATATAAAAATAAACTAATAATAAGGAAACATTATACAGTGAAATCAGGAGATCTGGAACATAATCTGGAAAAGATCATCAAAAGTAGAAAAAGAACTAAAAAATTAAACGATTATTTAGAGTAAATCGACAATTAAAAGTACTTTTGAGTTTGCAATAAATAAAATGTCTAAGAAATGAAAAACAATGCCTTCACTGTAATTTGAAGGCCAAGAGAGAAAAATTACTAAGACAAATGTCAATAAGTTTATCCTTAACATCATTATTTTCCAATTAGTAATCGGATGTAATGAAAAAAATTAAGACAACAAAAATCTTAGTTTCTTTTTCATAAGATGACCAAAAGACTGAAATAAGATAATCAGAACAATGAGTAATTTGTGGCACTTCTGAAATCCAAGCTAACATATGTTTGTGATTTTTAATAATTTTTAAGTTTTATCATTATTAAATAAAATTAATAGATAATATAAGTGCATCAGAACTATAGAATTAAAAATTCGTGAATGATTTGTGATTTTACTGACTATTTTACCAACTTATTAAAATAATAGTAATCATTAAACGAAGTTATCTTCAATCTGAAAATAGAATGCAACATAACTTTCCTACTTCATATTTTCAGACAATAACAACATTTAGTGAAAACGAGAAATTTTTATTTTATACAAAAAGAGATACATTGAGAGAAAAAACTTTTGTCAATTCGATGGAAGAGTGGCCCCTAGTCTCTTCTCTCAGAAAAGAAAAAACTATTAACTCTAGAAAAAATAGCATTAGAGAAAAGAATACAATAACTAAGAAAACATTTGCAAAAGAAAAAAAATTACAAATAATGTATTGTTCTTGTTGCTTATTCAAACTGGTCATGCCTGTAGTTCTATGACCATGAACACAAAATGCCGAACCCCTTATACAACTTCAAAAATCATAGATCTTTTCAGATAGAAAATAATAGCCAATTTTATAACAGACAATAAACTTACAATACAAACAATAAAATTAAAATATTTTCTAGAATAGGAGACATAACAGGATACTCACAGCAGTATTAAACTTTTATACCTCGAATATTTTGGAGTTCAGTAAATGCATGGTAAAACTATCTTAAAACTTATCACTATGGTAAAACTTTCTTAACTTGTTGTTGGCGCATGCGCGCCATTCCCTAGCGGAACGAGATTAAATCATCACTTCTATGAGACTCGATAAACATTAGATGTGGATAAATATCTCTTAAACCCTTTCGAAATCCACAATATCTCCAGCTGTTGTTGTTGTTTATACTTAATGTTGTTGTTATTAATAAAAACAAAAAGTGCAGCTGGTGGTCCGTCGTTATTTACTAAAATATCAAGCGTGTTGGTTTTAGGCCGACACTTGTAAAAATAANTATCATTATTAAATAAAATTAATAGATAATATAAGTGTATCAATGCTATAGAATTAAAAATTAGTGACTTATTCACGATTTTACAGACTATTTTCCCAACTCATTAAAATAGTAATAATCATTAAACAAAGTTATCTTCAATCTGAAAATAGAATACAACATAACTTTCCTACTTCATATTTTCAGATAATAACAACTTTTAGTGAAAACGAGAAATTTTTATTTTATACAAAGAGAGATACATTGAGAGAAAAAACTTTTGTCAATTTGATGGATGAGAGGCATACTAGTCTCTTCTCTCAGAAAAATTACAAATAATGTGTTGTTGTTTATTCAAACTGGTTATGCCTGTAGTTCCATGACAAAATGCCGAACTCCTTAAACAACTTCAAAAATCACAGATCTTTTCAGATAGAAAATAATAGTCAATTTTATAACAGACAATAAACTTCAATACAAACAATAAAATTAAAATATTTTCTATAATAGAAGACATAACAGGATATTCACAGCAGTATTAAACTTTTATACCTGGCATATTTTGGAGTTCAGTAAATGCATGGTAAAACTATTTTAAAACTCATCACTATGGTAAAACTATTTTAAAACTTATCACTATGGTAAAACTATCTTAACTTGTAAAAATAAAAGTAAAAATTATAATGTGGCAGGAAGGTTTCATTTTTTTAAAAAATTAGATTTTCTGCAGCATCTTATAAGTGACAAATAATACCTTAGGCGCATGAAATCAGGGTCAAAATGGTGTAAAATGACAATAGAAAACTATTCTGTAAAAAGTGTGAGTTAATTAAAAAAAAAAATTTGTTTTGCACTGATTTAGTAATAATTTGTACTTCTGAAAAAAAGGAAAAGATAAAAAAAAAAAAAAAAAAAAAAAAAGGGCTAAATTTTTATGCTAACTCCATTTTATTTGAAACACGTTTCAGACTTCACTTTTTTAATAAAAATATATTATTTTTCATGTTGCTATGTCAATTTTTTCTTGTGAAAGAAACTTCAAAATGATTTGTTTAAAATTGTGTCTTCATCAAAATATTTTGTTAATAGTATGTTCTGAAAAAAAAATCAAGTGCTAAAAATCAGGACAAAATACTTTTTATCAGGAATGTAAGAACAACTATGAGCCCTATAATATCTTTACAAGAGTAAGATAAATTTTTAAAAAAATGTTAATTACCTGAATTAGCGAAAATAGTTTTAAATTCACTACTTCATTATGTGTTTTTGAGTCATACCATGCAGTCATTTGATCTATATATACAGTTAATCTGAAATGGAAAATACTTATTGAAATGCATAATAACAGGAATATAAGATATTTTTTTATTAAAACAATTATAATTTAAAGGCAATATTTTAAAGTCAACTAAAATGAAAAAAAGTAATCCAAATAAAAATAACCTGCTTAACTATTATAATATTTGACCAGTATAAGAATCAGAGTTCTCCCTAGGAATAAAAAAGGGCAAGGTACTTCCTCTCTGAAAAGGCACTTTGAGTTTTCAAAGCGCACTCACATAAATATTTATCAAAATTTACAATATTATGTAATAACTGAATTTTATCCTCCACAATTTTTAAATAACCCTCTCATACTATTTCATGAGTATATTTCAAAAAGTAATTCTAAAATAATAATTTGTAAAAATAATAATTTGTAATAATTGGCATGCTAAAATGCAATCTCTGTACATATTTTTTTTCAAAATAAAAATAAACTAACAAATAATGATTAATTGATAAATAGGAAAGCTTTTTTCTATAATTTAAACTGAAAATTATGAGAAAATGAACATTTAAAGGTGCATTTGTTTTTTTTTTAAAAAAAGGGTATTTATTTACAAAATAGTTTCAAATATTAAAATCACTTAAAAAATTTATTAATATCCCTCCCAAAAAAAGTTACTTATAAAAATTTAACCAGTTGAGAATAAACTTAACAAAGTAAATATTTATAATAGCTATCAGAATTTAACCTATAAACACAGATAAGTTAACCAATGTGTAATTATAATTTAAACAGTGAATTAATTTTTTCAAAATGGAATCTGAATAAAAAGGCAGTGTTTTTAAGGGATGGCAGTTTATTTTTACCAAAAGGGCAAACAGGTGCATTTATTGGGATCAAAGGTCAAGCAGGGTGGGCGGCCCATCAAAAAAAAAAAAAGCTTAGGGAGAACTCAGTAAATTTTGATCTATTGAATATTTTATTTAGAGCCGTGGTAGCCCAGGGAATAGAGCGTTCACCTTTCAATGAGGCGAGCTGGGTTCTTCAGCACACATTTCTCCATAAATCACAATATATTGCTTTCTTTTACAGACAAATAAAGAAGAATTTTTAAAAGAAGGGAAACAGTTTATTCAAGAGTGCATTTTATTGCTGTATTCCTTAAAAAGAGAATTTATTCTTATTAAAAATAATTTTTTATTTTATTAGAAGGATAATGAATTTTTTTTTTACCTAATACAACCAGTAAAAATGGAATCTTAAATATGGCCTTATAAATACAACCTAAAAATTTGATAAAGACAAAGTTTTAATTAAATAAAATGATAAAAAAATATATGAGTTAAGAAATTGATGTCGAAATATTTTTTTAATGGCAGCTTCAGCTATCTTGTACTTAAAGTTTTGCTTTAATTATATATATTTTTATCTAATTTATATTCGTTATTATTTATCTTAATTTATATTTTTATCTTTATTTTAAGATATGAATTAAGTAGAATTTGAATTTTTTATACTAAAAAATTTTTTGTCAACAAATTTCTATACTTCAGCGTCCCAAAACAGTTATTGTGTGAATAAACGCTTAGACACATAAACTAAGTTTAAGCATAATTTAACTATGTTCTTGCTAAACTTTTGATGTAAAGTTTTTAATAATTCTCTTATTAACCTTTTCAAAATATAATAGTTCAACAAATAGATTTTGCAGTATAAGCAAATTACCAAAGAATCTGATGTAATTTCGATTGTTTTCATGAAAAAATTGAAAACAATATAAAATTTGTAGTAAAAATATTTAATAGAAAGGTAAAGAACATACCGAGGATCAGTAATCCTTAAAATTTCTCGAGCTAAACGGCCTATAAAATTTACAGACATATTATCCAATGGATTAAAACTAGGAATAGGTATTGTGCGTGATTGATAAATACTCTGCCAGTCCTGAACCTAAAAATAAGTTTTAAAATATTAAATTTATGCAATCATAGCAATATTGAAGTGAACTAATGTTTCTTAAAATGACAAAGGTGGCCTATAGGGTCAAAATAACAATTGGAAAAGACAATTCATAGTTTATACATTAATGAAAAATTAATATTCAGCTAAATAATAATAATTGAAAAAATTTTCGTTTAAAGGATTAATTTTACTTACAGAATATTAATAGTAACTTGGCAAACTCAATGTCAATTTATATCTTAACTGCATGATCAGCAGAGGGCAGAAAAAGCGTTTTGGGCAAATATATAAAGGCTGATTAAAAGTATAAAAAAAATTTAACTAGTACAAAATTTTTTTAATATATTCTACCAATTTCAGTAAATATTTTTATTCTATTAATAATATGAACAGAAATAATATTAGAATAAATACAGTCGGACCTCTATTTAACGAACTTCCATTTTGCGAATTTCTCTATTTTTTCGAGGAACGAAGAAGAGTTTAGAAATTTCTTTGTAAAATAACTTCCAAATAGAGAAGTGAATACTAGTTTACAAGATAAAGTTACTAGTTTACAATTGCTATTTTAATTATGCCTAGTGTTTATGAATTTAAAACTTGTTTTGTGATGTTTAAGTATTTCAAAAGGTGATTTTCTATTTAACAAATTTTGCATATAACGAACTTAATATCGGGATTTAGCGACTTCGTTAAATAGAAGTCCGACTGTATGTGCATAATAGTGATATGATATAACTCAATTCCAATAAAAGGTTCAATAATTGAAAGTAGGTTTCATTTTTGCTAGGTTATCTTTTAAGAAACGAAAAAATATCTCAAACAGGATGTGTCTCGGAGTCTAAGTACTAAGGTATATCATCTTATATAATATTAAATAGTATGATAATAGTAAATGAATATAACGTATACATAAGAATAACGAGAGAGTGAATCTTAAACAGGCTTGAAATGAAATATTTGAAGGAATACCTTATGTCTCAGAAATGCATTACACTCTTGTTCAACATTGTAATTTATTATCCTAGACATCTCCTCTTGCCATATTTTAAGACCATATATGCTTACATAATCTTGGATATATTCGAATGATCGACGAAAGCCATCCATTTTTTGTCCAATGGCTTCTAATTTAGGAACTAATTCACTTGACTAAAAAAGAAAAGAAAAAAAACGAAAGAAATAAAACATTACAGAAATATAAAGAGCAAAAAATAATGAAAAATTCACATTAAACATTTTTTGGGAAAACATTTATAGATATTTTAATTATATCTATAAATAATATTAGAATATTATTGCTGTTTTAAAAATTTTTGTCCACCATATAAAAATGTTTAAAAAAATATTATAAACACATTAAAGACTTTTAAAAATTTAAACAATTGCTAAATTTTCCTTAAGAGTGGTGAAATTTTAGATTAAATTTGTCCTCATTCATTATATTAGTAATTATCTACAGTGGGAATTATAAAATGTTGATACTAGGGTTGATAGTTCGAAATATGATAAACTTAATAATTCTATAAACATTATTGCAACATCATTAACACAAAAATTTGATTTCCAATTTTGAAAAACAATTCTTTTTTTAACCCAGTTAGAAATTTTTTTTTCCTAATTTACTTATACAATTAAGAGATAACAAAGTTATGAATTACCATGTTAAAACTCAAGATAAAATAATTTGCAGTAGTAAATCTATAAATATCATGATTAATATCATAGTTTCTAATAGCATTTAACACAAATATTAAATGGTATTAGAAACCATGACTTTTATCAACAAGAAGAGAACAAAAGGAGCAAACAAACAAAAAGTAAGAAGTAGCAAGAAGTCATTTAGCATTTTAGGCTCATAAATTTACCTTATAAAGATAAACTTCAAATTAAGACAATTGTCCGTTTTAACAAGAACTTTCTTAACACATATTACACACGTACTAATAGGACTCTTTGTGCGGGTAATTTCCTTGCATGAAGGTAGAATAATTTAATCCTTATTGTAGAAGGAATGTACTTTAAAAAAAGAACAAAAGAAGCATTAAGATAATGGAAGCACAAAGCGGTTTCAATGAAACAAACATTTTCTACTTAATAAGGCAGAAAATTATCTAACTATAAATGCTGATAAAGTTTTGGTCTGAGCACTGACATCTTTACTATTTATATTTGACAATGCTAATGTAACAATAATAATTTTATCAGAATTATAAAGAAAGTGTTGAATGTGTGTGGAGTTGCAGAAGTTGCATAAGCAAACATATTAGTTATAAGGATAAATTGTTTTAAAATAATAAAAGAAGATAAAATTAAAGATTGAATAAAAAAATTATAAAAGTCATTCACATAATTTTTTTCCTCCAAATAACTATAACAACAAGCAGAAATAAAATATTGAAAAAACTGTCTACAAAAATCAGAGCAAGGAAAGAAATAATTAAATTGGATAATTACCTTAGCTTTAGGATTAAATACTAAGCCTTCATGTAAAGCAATTGCTACTTTATGAACTAATTCCTTTCTTATTCCATCTTCAAGTAGTTGTTTTGGATCAATTTGTATAATACCTACTAAAGTTCTTTTCATCATTAAAATTCCTTCAGTAAAAACAGATATTGCATGAGTGTATTTTGCAACCTAATAAAATAAAACCAACATAATAATAAAAATTATGATCAAAATAATAAAAATTATCACGTAACTTGTAACAAACAAAAAAATGTTTTGTATTTTCTCAACATTTTTTTCATTTATTACACATTAAAAAAATTTAAATATTTCTTACTCTAAATAAGATAAATAATAAAATTGAAATATTGTAATTTTGCAATAAAATATCTTTATTGATAAGTATAACTTATTATATATCAATCTTTATACAGACATAAAAGACAATTGGTTCTTTAACTTAAATCATTTCCTTTTAATAAAATTTCTTTGTTTCATGCAGTTTAAACTTTATCAAGAATTTTAACTTTAATTGGTTAACAAGACTCGCTTTTATAAAAATCATCAATTTATCACAAGAAATATATTAGAATTTAAAAAATTTTGATAATAAATTAAATTTAAAAACAATGAATATGAATAATAAATGAATTTAAGAAAAAAGTTAGGTTTCAGTTAAAAAAATATTAACTTTGGTTACGTTATTTACATCAAAATGTAAACAAGGATTAATTGTCACTAAAGTTTAAAAAAATTAACAGAAAATAAATAAAAAAAAAACATTAAACTAATCAATTAAAATGCAAACAACTGAAAGTTTGAAACAAATATTTCTGTTGTAATTTTACATAAGATTTAAAAGAAAAGGAAAAAAACCTTATAACGTTCATCTAGCTGAGCATATGCTTTCAATTGATCTTTCATAAGTCTTGTGGGCACCTCTTTTATAGCATTGGTTTGAAGTTCAATTATTTGAGCCATTAAGGCAAACATACTTTCAGGAATGATATGCAACACTTTACGAACATAGGATACTAGTTCACTGGAATAATACTGAGAAACAGAGAGCAAATCTGGACTAGACGCTTGATTAATTCGAAGCAATGGAAGTTCAAGAGCTGATGCAAGCTATAAAAAAATCATATGCTAACTTCAAATAATGTGAAACAAGTCTTAAATATAGTGATGTATAATAACTAATAAATAAAAACTATTACTTAGAATTAAATAACTTAAGTACATCATGAAACTTAGAGCATAATAGTAAATCAACACTTATTTTGCTTTTTTCAGATATAAAAGAGAAAGTTTGATTGAGACAAATGTTAAATTAATATGCTGCAATAAAAACTATGATGCAATCTACTTAGGCAAAATGTTTATTCCTTTTTTGAATTGCATCATTTTGAATAAATAACACAACGAATACAAGACTTCTTAAGAAACTTCGCAAGTAATAATAACCTTTCTCTTCAAAATAAAAAAAAATAAGAAAAGGCGTATGAAATAAACATGAATATTGGAAAAATATATTTTAAACCAAAACGAATTTCAGTTTAAAATTTATACTTGAATAATTAAAATTTACACAATATTAAAACAAGTTAACATGTTTTAACACTTAGCATTGAATGTCATAATTTAAGGACAGATCCTTTACTCATTTTGAAACTAAAGTGGTTGTGAACAAATAAAAATATCTATTTAGTTAATTTAAAATTTAAGTGCACCTTTTCTATTTTTTATTGGGACACTGCTCATATCAATACAATATAAAAAAAACACCAATAATAAATTATTATATAAATATGAAACATAATTATTCAAAACAAATAAATAATAAATAAATAAAAATAGTATGGCAAAAAAATGGATAATTAGTAATTTAATACGATGTTAGTAACATTTTCCTAGCAAGAAAAAAAATTGATTAACAGTGAATAATAAAAAATAATAAATGATTTTTTTGAAACATAAAATATTTATATATGAGAAAAAATTGAACTCAAATGTATGTCAGATAAAAACAATTATAAATATATATATACACACATGAATCAACTTACTTTTAAAAATGTTGCTCTTAGCTTTATAGCCAAAGTTGGATCTCTTTTAATGCCCTGTTGCATATATTTAGTATAACTATAAATAAATTAAAAAATATATCAATATTAAAAAAGCATCTAAATGAAGCACTGAAATGGAATTTATCAATGGAGTACACATAAAATATCAATTTTTATTAAAGAGACTAAAAATTAAATTAAGATTAGGAGGTTAGAAATAGCATTTATGAAAAAGTTCTATATTGAATTTATGATGAAGGCATTACTTTTAACTTAGCACATTGAATTCAGGCATTATAAATAAAGTTACTAAGTGATTATCAGATTTTATTCAGAAACTGTTACTCAATTCAAACACCTCTTTTGGCTGTAAAAATATAAATTACAATGGTAACAGAACATCAAGAATATTAGAGATAAACACCATTGCGATCTTCGGAAAAAGAAAACCTGTTTTTTACGAATTTCTGCATTTTATAGTTAATTAAAAAATTATAAATACAAACACGAAAATCATATTTGCTATAGAAACTAAATTAGTTATATACACAGAGTTAAATTTTTTAGCAAATTTGATTAAAATTATCTTGTTTGCAAGCTAAAAACACTGTTTTAGGAAACATTATTTAAATGTTTTGATTGTGTGTTCAATCTATGCAGCATAAGTTGTCTTAACATAAAATGTACCACTTATCTCTTGTGTCAAGTCAATGTAAATTTTATTAAATCAAAAACTAAAACGCGTAAGTGCCACTATAACTAAATTAGTTGCATGCATATAACTAAATATTACAGTACATGAGAAATAAAAATTATATGAGTTATCATGTTTGTGAGTCAAAAAATTGCTGTTTTCTAGAAACTACCATTCTAAAATTTAAAAAGAAAAAAAAATGGCCAACAATTATTTCATTTTTTTTTAACAAAAAAGTTGAATTTGAAATTATTATAGCAAAATGTTAGAGGCATTAAACATACTGTTAGCCAGCAGAATTGTTGCACCATTCATATTTAATTTAAAAAAAAGAAGCAAGTGAAATACTATGATGTTAGAGATAATTCCTTAATATATAAAAATAATTCCACAATAATAAAAATAAAGTGTAAAATGCTAGTTAATAAAACAAAAAGTACCTATCAATTATTTCCCAAGCATAAGACAAGTCCGCAACCATTTCTAAAGTTATTAATACTTCTTCTTTAATATTAATTGTTCTTAACATCTGATGAAGAAACTTTCTTGTATCAATGAGAAACTGTTTTATTTGTAAATTACTTTCTAACTGGTGGAATTCTTGAACCTAAATCAAAACAAAAATAATGAATAATCATAAACCAACTGGCACTCCATTTAATGACTTTCAAGGAACAACGGAAAATTGTCAAAATGTCCTTAATATAAGGGAGATTGAAAATGTCCTTACTAATATATGTGAGGAAATAGAATTTTAAAGCAATTTTCAAACTGAAGACTGACATTTTTAAAGTGCTGTCTATTTTTAATAATCATAGTTTCTCTAAGTAGTTATTGCCCTAAGAAACCATTTTAAGAACTAATGATTTAGACAGACAATCATAGATAGAGATTTCAAGGAAAAAGATAATGCATTGTGAAGCATTGGAATGAGATCTTTTATTTTACAGAATAAGACTTAGATTTTTAGAATACTATAAAAATTAACTTAATAAATAATTTACATTAATTTTATTATTATTATCTTATTTAATTATATTAAAAAATTAACTTTATATTTACTTTTTAAATAATTAGGTGGCAAAGCAGAAAAGGAAAATATTTTGAAACTAAATGATTGGTATACACTGTGAATATAAATTAGAACATGGATAATTTAAAATATTTTTTCCAATTCGAACTACTTTTAATTCTCCTAGAGCTTTCTATTAACCTCAATGTTAAAAGTTTCATTTAAATTTTTTGTTATTCTTTTATTCAGTTTAAAGTATAATGCTGAGTAGAATTTAAAAAATTTTTTGGACATTTAAATTTATTAATAGTATAATGATATCAAATTATAAAAATAGTAAAGAAACAAAAAGTCAGCACAGGTGGTAAAAATCTAAAATGAATTCATTTTTAATTAAAGAAGGATACATAGCTGCTTGAATTGTAAGTGTATTTTTTTCCACCGGGCAAACCTTTCTACTGAGAAGTATTATTGCAGTTGCAGTATGCGCATTTACACAAGGTACATAAACTTACTAATTCTAACAAGTCCAACATGTGCTTTCAATAATCATAAGTTCTGAAGTCTTAAGAAAAGCCTTCACCAGCAAATAGGATATACCATAGGTGGAGAAGTTGTGGCATTAATATTGGCTCAGCTTGATTGAAGGGCACAAGGAGCCTTCATGAGTTTGTGTGGTTCTAGCTCTTGTAATATTTTATTATATAGATTAAGACAATTTGAAAACTAATAAGAATTAAATAATGTGCTTCCATTTATTAAGCATAATGTGAATTAGAATGCTGCAGTGTCGCAGTTCTAGCAATCTCTTTCTCATAGTCTGAAATTATTGCAATTCTGGCACACTTTTCAGTTTGCTTACGTGAAATACACTAACGCAGTTGCTGTAGCAATCGCCACCTCCCTGGTACCATGACAAAAGCTGTTCTGAGAGACAGTATCTACTTTTCTCCCTCAACATTCCCTTATGCTTTTTGATTTAAGTTATTTTTGCTTGGTGATGGTCATTTGTGGAGTTGGTTATTAGTAGTAATCTGTGCTTGTTTGTAACACTCTTGTCTCCTATTTTTATTGGCTATTATGAAAATCTAGTTATTATTTTAGTTATTCTGATATTTTACTAATGCACAGTTTCATTTTATTTTTCAAAAGGTATACGCTTTTTTAAAGATACTATTTGATATTCGAATTTTTTCTATCATGTGAAATTGAAAGAAAAGAAAATTAAATGAAGAAAACAGAACATTTAATGTAGAGTAGGAATTAGGTTATTTCTTTACTTTTTGTATAAAATAAAACTCGATTGAACAATAAAGTCAAAACTGTACTGCACAACAAATGGTGTATTTACTGTGCAATACAGTTTTGACTGCTCTAAAAAAATGAATGCAAATAAACTATTTGATTTATAAAGAGCAAAAATGAAGTGAAAAGTGAATTTCGTCAAGCTACCGTTCACTATAAATTGAAAAATAAAAAGAGCCAACAGGCATCCTTAAATGAATTTGCAACAAAAAAAATTTATCACTGCAATAGATGTTATTTACAAAATAATTTATATGCTATGAAAAAGAGCAGACCATTCAATAACATAGAAATAATTAAAAAATATATTGTGGCTGGAGTAGGTATGCTAGATCTAGAAAAAGTTGAATAACACAAGCAATTGCCTCTTTCAAGCAGAACTATAACAGATCGGCAGTACAACAATTATTCAAAATAAAGATAATTTCTCAATTGCTTTCGTTGCTCAAATAAATATAAAAATCTGCACAAGTTTTATATATATATANATATATATTGTGCTGCAATAAAAAATTTTAGTGTTACATATAGCATATTGCGCTAGGTACATTAACAAGAAGAATTGGTTGACATTTTCAAAAACTTCAGAGAAATATGCCATCATTACAATGAAATGTTTAATATTGTCCAATGCTGCACTGACAATTATTTATTCAGTTCCAGCACTGAAATTTATATCACTGCACAGCAAAATCTTTTCGAAAAAGAAAAATATATTGGTAAGAATGTTGTGTAATAACTCAATATACACACTTCTAGTAATACAAATAAAATGCAAGCAAAAAAATATGTTCTCAAGGCTGTGTAATAATTTAATACTGTGATTAACAGATCCTATAACATCTATTCTGATCATTATTCAGGTATAATAAATACACACATTATGTATGAATGTCCTTAAAAAATTGATTCAACATTAAAAAAAAGTTTGCTATGACAAAATCAATTTAATATTAAAAACAAATTTAGATACTTCTTCAAGAGCTTGAATCAGCTGTACAATTTTTCTTCCAGTAGCAGTAGCATCATCATAATTCAAAGTTTCGATTTGCTTACCCATATCTTTAAACCAAGCTTGTAAATTATCTGAAACATAATAAAATAATAAATTATGTTACAATAAAAACTTTGAAAAATTGCTGAAAGAAAATTTTTCACAGATAAACTGAATTTCGCATAAAATATAGAATGTATACAGTTTTACATAAATGAAGCATTACAGATCATAATCAAAACAAAAGTTTATGAAAAACTAATTTTAAACAAACTGGCAGCAATAAAATCTTTAAACTTGTATTAAAATAACAGTATCAGAAGTAGTAACATAACAGCATTATAAAATTTCATGAAAATCTGCTTACATCTAACAAAAACAAACTACAAAAAATTGCCAACTAAAAATATCCTCCAAAGCAATATTAACTGTTTATTAACTTAATAAACTTAAAACAAAATTTTTAATAACAAATAAAACATCAATCTACACTTTCTGAATTAGATTCTTTATATTAAATCAAGGTCCAGAAATTAGAAAATGGGTCAGTTCTGCAAAACAGAATTTTTGGAGCCCACTCCCAATTGTTCTGCGATGTTGTTCAAAAACAGACTGAAATACTTAAACAATTTTCATTTTAAGAGAAGCATGGAGATATTATATCGCTCTCTTTACTTTTTGTTATAAGCAAACAATTTTGAGTAAAATTCAAATGGTTTGAAAACAAACTTTTCATTTCANGCATATTTATTAAATTAGACCATTTTTAATAGATGAATAAGTTTCATGAACAACTTCCTGCTGTTACTTTATTTCCTAAAGCTGATGTTTATGAATTTATAAAAACGTCACTAAAAACCTTCCACATCAACTGACAAAATAGAGATTTATATCAAGTCAAGTTAGAGATCTGTTTCAAGTCACAGAAATTTGACAAAATACAGAAAGTGTTTATTTATACTTAAAAAATAATTTTTAGCAGCTTAGAGTAAATAGAAATTATAATAATAAAAGTATTCAAACTATAAGATTCCTTTTTATGCAAATGTTTCCATATCTTATGTAAAATGATTATGTCTGTTTAATATAAGTAATGTTGTAAACAATTATTAAATTATCTTTTACTTCTTACTTTTTTTAATAGTTTAACGATTACATAGATATTAAACTTTATAAAATTATACATCCATTAATTAATGTACATATAGATGATAAAAAGATTTAAGGTATTAAAATAACAAAATACACAGTTACCTCCTTTACTTTCAGTTCAAATTGAGCAGTATATAATAGAAGTTGGAAAACTTGCAACGGATTGTAACGACTATCATTAATCACTTGCTCTCTCAACTGCCGACATTTTTTGTTAACTTCTGCAGCTAAAAAAATATTCTTATTTCAGAATTAAAAGTGTATAGATATGGACACATGATGAGAAAAATATATTTGTTTTTGATAATGAATGTAAGATTATATTTTTTCTCTTAAGGATGAAACTTTCTAAATAAATTTCTCAATTTTCAGAAGAAAAAAATCACATTAATTTTTTTAAACAAAATATAACTTTATAAATTGTGTACAAACATTAAATTATAAATTTTTTTGAAATTATTCTACTGAAGAAACAATTTTGATAACAAAGAAAAATGTAAAAAAATACATATATATTATTTCCGAAAAAGTCATAAATCAAGTTCTTTAATAAATCTACAGTTTCTTTGATTTCCATAATAAATGAATGTTTCAAGATATCAATCTTGAAAATGGAACATTTCAAAAAATATGTTTGCATAATTTTTTTAATGTACTGACATTAAAAGTATTTATTTGAAACATGCGACAAAATTGATCAGCTTAAATCATGAGGGGGAAAAATTCTTCCTAATAAAGTCACAAGAATCAAATAGTTATCGATAGCTGCCTTGACTAACACTTGTTTCTGATAATAAAAGAATGATCTTACCTTTTAATCATAAGGATGGAATATAATATCAATTCATTTATTATCAAACACTTCATAATTTTCATACATAAAAAAATTTTGAAAAAAAAAGTTAGATTTTTATTTTTTTAAGTTTATTTTTATTAAATCATTTTTTTAAAAATTTTACAGAATTGGTCAATTTTGATCATAATGAAATATATAAAGAAAATTATTTCCCAATAAGGCATATTTGCGATAGTAGAAGTCACTTAGAATACCATGTTTCCCCTAGCAGGTTAAGAAAGCTCTAATGTTCATATTTATTATCTTATATTTTTAAGTTTAAGAAAAATCTATGAAAAAATTTTTTTTGCTTACATTGATATAAAAATTAGTTTTAAGAATAGATTATATTTCGATGAACATGCATAGTTTTAGTGCTTTTCATTTTAATTTAATAAGATTTCTTAACCTTTTAGATATTTAACTATTGCACTCCTTTCTTCGGGAGAAATTGGGATTTAATTGAAGAGTTTGGCCTAGGCATCAACACATCCCAATTTGATCACGATTATGAAAGAAAACATATTTAACTCCTGCTACTCAATTGCCTTCCATAAATAAAATTTTTATCTCAAAACATTTGATTTCCTTATTATAAATTTATTCTTGGAAAAACACATTTTACTTCCCAAGAAAAAGATTCCAAATTTTTAAATACTTTCAAAAATTTTTCCAAGTTTCCAACTCTTAAATGTTTATTGTAATTTAATTTTATTGGTAATAAAAGCTATTATTATTTTTCAAAACTTCATTACATAATACATAAACATTGCAAACCTGGTGTTAATGCTATAGTGTGTAGCAACATCCATCTTAAAGTCACATTGCACTCTCTGGCTACATTTAAAAGTTTAGGAACATTATCAAGCACTACTTCTTCAGACAGTGCTCCTTCTTTTAGAAGATGTTCAACAGTTGGAATCATTTTCACAACTCGAGTGTGGTATCTCTGACACTGAAATAAAAGGTTAAAAAAGCTATTTTTTTACTTGTGTGAGTTATGGTAACAATTGGCAATCATGAAAAGAACTTTTAATGACTAAACAATAAAAAAATGTTTATTTTTAACAATAAAAAATTATTATTCAAGACCGATTTTAAATTCCCTAGAAAGAAAACTACAAATACTTTTAATAATTAATATGCGCCGACAATAATTTGATAAAAATGAACAATTAACTTTAAAAAAAATCAGCACCAGGCTTGCAATGACCACAGTGCAGACGTAAAATATGATTGATGGTAGACGAAAGATCATGGGTCGACAGGCCTCTTGCCGTCAGGCTAACCAAGTGAGATTTCAGTTGTTTTCCTCTTCATGCAACACAAATGCAGGTTACTTAAGTAACATACTCCTCCACAGCAGCAAATTTCTCCTAATACTTGATCCCAAAGTTCCCTTGTCTTCTGGGTTGGGTTAAAAATTACAAGGCTACAAAGTTGAGTATTATTAGTCCTAAACCCAAAATTGGGTCGACTGTTAAACAATGGTTGTAATATTAAAAAAAATAACTTTAGAACAATAAGCTAAATTATGAAAATTTCCAATTTCTAGAAAAAACCTATAAACACTTTTAATAATTAATATAATGCACAGACAATGATTTGCTTAAAATAAACAATTAACTTTATAACAATGTCATGAATTATAACTAACTGGATTAAAACTAAAAATCACTAACATGGTTATGAAGATGTAATTCATAGTAAAAATATTATACAATAAAAGTTTTATAGTAAAAGCATCTTGATTATTTGATGATTCAATATAATTTCAAAATAGCAAGAAAAACCAGCTTTAAAATTAATGTACTTATTATTATTCAAAATTTGCAAGTCTTTTTTTTTCTTCTCAATTATCTGAATAAAAGAAGAGTTTAGTGGAAGAAGGTTCCAAGTGCCATTTTTAACGAAAATTGAATTTTTTTTAGAAAAGGGTCTATTTTAGTCTAATTACAACAATCATTTATTTTATCAAATTTTACAATTTCACAGATCTAAGATGAATGAAGGTACTTAAGAGTGTTTTCAGAGAGTAAGAAGTGTAAGTGCATTTGGCATTAAGTGCATTCAACCTTAGTGCATTAAGTTAAGTGCATGCAAACCTTTACAGGATGCATGGCTAAGTTTGTGATAAATTTCCCCCGCTTTTTCCAGATTTTAAAGCTTAAATATATCCTGTTAATTATGTCACAATAATTCCTTAAATTTACTCGGTAGTAAAAATGGTACAGTATGAAATCAATCACAAAAATTTAAGCTAAACTTTATTATCGCATCTCTAGACAACATTAAATTTTTTTTCATGCACTTGAAATATAAATATAACATTTTTATGTAAAAAAAAAAAAAAAAACATAAATAGGTTTAACATATCTATTATCGAATAAATTTAGAAAATTATGCAATAAATTCTTAAGTGAAGTTGTAAACTATTTCATTATATTTTTACACATATAGCAGTTTTCTATTTATTACAACTATTTTATCATGTAAATTTGGCAACATTTAATACAAAGATAATATTTTTATAAAATATGCACAAATTTCATTAAATGTGTTTTGTAAAAGAATTACCTGTTCTTTAACATTAGCAATGTCAATAGTGTTGCTCAATGCTTGTGTAGCTGCCTTATAAGGTTGCCAAGCATCAACAAGATTTACCATCATTCCCATATAAATGCTAATGACCTAAAATCAATTACAATGCATACAAAATTTAGGTAAAAATTTTGATTGGGAACATGGGTATACATAGGTTCAAAATTTCAGGTCCTGACCAACATTTTAGGGACCAGGATATTACAGTACGAAAAGTAACCATTTACCTTTCATGGAAGAACGCTAAAGATAATTATTATTTTTAATTAAATATTATCTAAAAAAATAAAGTGGTTAAAAATATGCTTCCCATTGAAAAATTCGATCAATCCAACTTTTAATAATAAAAAAACAATCTAGGAATCACTGCAGGCTTTACACTTTTCTGTTTTAACTTTGTAATTTAACCATGGCATGAGATTCCTAGAACTTATGTTAGGTGATTTGTTCATGTAGCATCGTTATTCTACATTAAGGCATTTTTCGTGGATGCTGCATTTTCCTAGACATTATTACCATCAGATATTTCTAGCATTTTAGTTTGAATAGTCATAAAATAATACAGAATAACTCAATCTTTCTCAGATTCCTAAAAGTAACTGTATGGAAGTTAATAGAAAGAGGCATTGATAATTGATAATTAAAATTCAAAAAGTAGAATCTAGTACAAAGTATGATGTCATGCAAATTAATAAAAAAGCAGATTTTCAGAATTTTCTAGACAGATGTAATGTAAGTAAAAATTATCTTTCGTTTAAACGAAAATATTGGCAGTTAGGAGTCTAAAAAACGAGCAAAAATAAACTTATAGGACACCAGATTTGAATTTTTACGCACCTTGGATTTTTTAAACCCCTAATTAAGTCATTAAAACTATATTGACAAAGACAATCTGCCAAATTTTATTATACAGGAAGACTTTTAAATTTCGTCCCATTATAACAAACACACTAATCATATTATAAATGAATACATACAAACAAGATATTTCAAACAAATAAATAAAATTTTTAAATCTTTTTAAAGTGTTAGTTAGTCCTAACACATAAATTGCATTTCACTGATGTTTCTGAGGTAAAGAAAACAATATTTTCTCATTAATATGAAGGAGAGAAACACTCTCTCAAATTTGCCCATTAGATTAAGAAAAATTCCAGAGGATTCAAATATATAAAAATGGAAAGATCAAAGAAAAAAATTTAAGTTGTAAAAATATACGAGATTAACAAAATATGAAAGATGTTTAGCTAAAGCATAGAATACTTTTTTATAATATGTTTTTTAAATACTAATGATAAATGAAATTTAATTGATTGAAGAAAAAAACTGCAGAATACCAAATCAATATAGGAATTAGAAACAGATGGAGCCAGACAACAACAAATTATGAATAAATACTATAAATGGAACAAAAGTACTCACAAACATTGAGAAGATTTCTATGATGATTCTACAAAATTTATTCATATCTTTAATTTGTCAAGCAGAGAATTTTAAGTCCAGATGGAGTGACTTTATATAAAATTAAATTAATTACGAAAATTGGTAGAAACAGAAAAATTATTCTTTTATGATTTCCAACTTCTCTTGATATTAAAGTAATTGAAGATTGCTATTAAACCCTAGACCACAGTATCAATTTTTAGACAGTTGCAATGCCTGTTGTAAACTAATACAAAAGAATTAGTATAAATGCTCCAAAGAATAGCTGACAATTTTCCACTTAAATTCAGAACTTTTAAAGTATAATATCTAACAATCTAAAATTAGAGTTCGGTCTGGATATAAATATTTATCATTAAAAATATTCATATTCTTTTTCCAAAGACAGCTTAACAGATATTTTGAAAATAAAAAACGTTAATGATCTAGAAAGAAAGATTTTACTTTGATCTTATAAATTGTTTTTCATGTGCTCACATGCCAACTGTGAGAACAAATTAACAAAAGCGGCAAAACTACGAATGTTTTTCAAACATGGGCATCACAGCTGCCCTATATTTGAGAGGGATGAAATTAAAATACAGAGTCAAACTAGTTATATATAACAAAATAATTTATTAAATTTTCTAATTTAAAAAATTTTTCTGCGAAAAGATTTATCTGTTTCGTGATTTTACCTTTCATAAATTCAAATGGATGGTGACTCCTGAAAATTTTCTTTATTTGTCTGAAACATTGAGAGGGACTTGAGAGAATTCAAACATTGAGAGAATTCAAATTATATAGGAGGACATATACCCACTGTTCCGCCACCAACGATGCCAATGTTTATAAAATATAGTTCAATGTGTAGTATACAAAATAACTTAAGTTTTGAAAATTAATGAAAAATGTGGTATTGCTTTTATGATGTTTTGTTACTTTTATATATATGTGGAATTGCTNGGACTTGAGAGAATTCAAACATTGAGAGAATTCAAATTATATAGGAGGACATATACCCACTGTTCCCCCACCAACGATGCCAATGTTTATAAAATATAGTTCATTGTGTAGTATACAAAATAACTTAAGTTTTGAAAAGTAATGAAAAATAAAACTATAAGTAATAAAACTCAATTACCCAATTATCGGGAAAAAACTTATCAACAATTTCTCGCATTTTTGCATGATGATTGTTTAAAATATCAGGTGAGAAATACAAGATTACATATAACATTGAAGCCTGTGTTGCAAGAGCTGTGCTTCTATGTTCAGGTAATGGATAAGCAGAAACCTACAATAAGTAAATAAAATAAAATGAATGGAATATTGCAAATAATAACACTATAATAAAACTTAAAGACAGCTTTTCTTGCATAATTTAAGACATTTATGATTGTAAAATCATGAAAAAAAAGCTTTAATTAACTTAAACTAAACTTTAAGTTCAAAAATTATAGTAGACATATAAATCTATTTTACCTGATTATATATATCATCAGATCGCAACCGGCCAATAATCATGCTAATAAAAGTAGGATTCAGACCAACTCTCCTGAAATATATTTATGGAATTTTGTAAAACACAGAAAAAGTTGCTTTAAAAATATCAAAAGATGAAAAAAATTGAACTACAAGCCCACAATACAACAGTAGATTTTAAATCAAAAAAACTTAATAAGTCCAGAATTTTGCAGTCATATACAACAAAACAAATATAAAACAAAACTAAAAAACATTAAAAACTTGCTTAAATAACTCGATACAAACTTATTTCTTATAAGCAGACATGAATAAGAAATGAAAGACAAATAAACCAGTTTCATCAAATGAACCGCATCATGAATTCCGGGTATTGTTTTTTCCTTTTATTGTTCAATAACAGCAAATTGAAAATCCATGTCCTCTAAGGTGTAGAATATACACAAAAAGAAAATATAGTATTTTTAAAGTTTAGTATGAATGTAAAGTTTAATGGTAAGGGAACCAAATTTGACTATACTAAGTAAAATGTAAGTGATAAAAAAACAAGAAAATATTAAACAAATAATGGTGCAGTAAACTAAGTCTAACACTAAAAAAGAGGAAAAATCACTAGGGCATCTCAGGATTAGTTTTCCTGTTTATCAAAAATGAAAAATCTAAAAATATTACTTATTTTTAAAATGCATATCTCTTATTTGCTTTAACCTTAGCGCCGTAAGCAAAAGGGTTAAATTTCAGAAAATTTCTATCAAACACAAAATATTCAATTCGTAAAATAACCAAATCAGTAAACCTGAAATAATCATCTGGATAATTGGGCAATCGTTTTGCTGTGGGAGCAGCACTATAACCAGTACTTCGTAATAGTTTACAAACATCATCAATATTAGAATCCATGCTTGATCTTTGAGCACTGAAATAAACATTAAAAATTTAATAAAATTAACTTAAATTAATATGGTGTAACAAAGTTACAAGGAAAAGGGTTACGCTTTTCACATTAAAATATTTAATTTTGATTATTATAAGATTAATCTAAAAACAACTCTTAAATACTCTAGCATTTTTTCCTTTAACATATTTTTTATTACATAAATACTGTAAAAAGAAAATTTTGTACAGCTATTTAAAGTTGAACCTGCAAACTATCCTTCAGTACTTTGTTCATATCTTATGCTTCATGTCGCTTTACTTCATACCTTATGCTTTGGACAAATCAAGTATTTGAACCAATTAAATTTTTAAAAAAAACTAATTTTTTTAATCAACCAAATTAAGAAAATACATATTGCATATAATTGTATGAAGGATAGAAATTCACAGTTTAACCCTAATATATAAAAACGTGTTTTAAATCGTGATGAATATAGCAAAATTGAGTCTGCAGGATACATAATTTCCTAAAGCATTTATTGCTGACAAGAATATTAACGGACACTGAAAATGCGTTATTCAGAATGTGATTTACCCTATTTGACAATCCAGATAGTATTTGTTAGGAATGTAGAAAAGAGAATGAAAACAGAAAACTTTTAAAAATGTTTTAAGAAAAAAGAAACTTAACTGAAAGTTATTTAAACCACGAGAGTTTTCTCGACAATATGACACAGAAACTGTTAACAAATAAATTATTATTAAACTAAAAAAATAAATATTTATTTTAACTAATTACAAATATTTATAACAAATTTCAGATCTCAAACTAATAAATATTGTCAGACATTTTAATTGGCATATAATTAATATGTTCGAGTTACAAAATAATTTTATAACATTTATAAAAAAAAAAAAGACAATGTAAACGATAGAACTGATATCATTTAAGAACAGAATCAAATGGCCCATTCAAGTCATTGAACTCTTTCATTTCTAAATTTCAATACAGTTCAAGAGTCTCTACTTGCTACTTACAATGCAAATAATATGGGGGGGGGGAAAAAAACTAGTGCACAAATCCCTTTCTCAACTTGTTCTGACCAGTTGAGTCTATTGAGCATAAATTGCAAGAAAGAGGCAAGAAATTGTTGTCTTCATGGTTGTGAGTATGTTTGGAAATCAAATCATAATAAAAAAAAACAACTTAAGATTAAAAACACTTAAAAATAAAAAAACACTTAAACATATTCTTTTAAAAAGAAAAGTCATAAATCAAAATATTAACCTGTATCGATAATATGATACTAGCATCCTCTCTCTGACTATCCCTTCAATTTTCTGATCAATGACCATCAAAATTACGCCACACAGATAAATAGCTTCACACTGTAAATGAATAAAAATAAAAATGCTTAAGCTCTTTAACATTTTTTTATCTGATACCAGCTGAATACCCGTTCATTGAACAGGTGAAAAAATTAAACAATCAAAGATTAGGAACTGAACAATACTGTAAAATCACGCACAAAACAGAAGATATATACCAAAACAATTAATAAAGCTAAAATAATACCACATTTTTTAATTACACTTACTTTTATCCCTAACGGTGGCTTTATATTATTAGATCAATCAAAATGCGTTTTTAGTAATTCATTGCCTCAAAATAACTATTAACTTTATTCAGTATCTTTTGATATGTTACTGCTAGAGGACAACTCACGATGGCGAAAAATCACTATTAAGTGCTTGTCACTATTATTGTCACTAATAAAATCACTATTAAGCGATTTTCTCTGGGACTTATCCTTTTCGAAAACTCGTAAAAAACCTCTTTTCTCATTATTAATATTGAAACTGCATAGTATTAATGCAGTTTTAATAAGTACCAACCACACTAATTTTATCTACATAAGTATAGTTGATAATGATTAAAATTGCAATCATGGTAAATATCAAAAGTACCTATTACCAAAATTCATTAAGCATCAGTAGCATTAAAAATAGCATGTCAATTTTTACATTTTGCCTAAACGAATTAGAACCATTTCCCAGTTAATTTTGCTTTTTAATACACAGCTTTATTTGAATTCATACCTATTAACAAAATTAATAAAACGTCATTGACTTCAACAGAAGTATAGCAATATTTTACTTTTCTAAACAAATTACCATTTTTTCAATAAATTTGCAATTTAGTAGTTTATATTTTCAGTTACAATATCAATTTCCAAAATTAATTTAACTAAGCATTAATGGTACTAAAAGTAGCATTGGGAAATTTTGATCAAAACGAATCAGTACTAGGCATCAATAATGGTATGGCAATTTACAACACTTATCCCAAATGAATTAGTATTATTTCTCTATAAATTTTTTTCTTTAGTTAAAAAAGCATAATTATTAAAAAAAAATGTCCCCCTATGCTGCCACACTCACATTGATCAATGAGTTTATCTGACATAAGGAATAAAAAATAATTAAATATCTAAGAATATACAAACCCTTTTTTGGATTCCTGAGAGATATAAGCAAACAAATAACATTGACGCTATTTTTAAAATAGCCTGGAGTTTCATTTATATCAGTGGTTCCAGTTCTGAACCAGTTAGAAAATTCAACTTTTTAAATGTCTCTGCTGAATAATCTAATTGAAATGTTTGAACAATTTTTAGGATTAGGGGCTAAAATTGCACCTTTCATCCACTGTTCAAATTTCAAGGCTCTAACATAAATGGAAGTAGAATTTAAAACTATTAATTTAATTTAAACCTACAAAATCTTGATTTTATAATTACATATTTTAAAAGTGAGTAATAAATTGTTATAATACATCTATTAAAATCAAAATATTTTGATGTTAAAAGTTGAATTATATTAAAACTTTTCTAATTTTTATTAAAGATAAAATATTTTAAACAATAAAAAATTAGGTGGCAAGGAAATAAAAATTGTCAAGCAATCCCAAAGTGTTTCTCTAGATAACATTTATTATTAGAATAACCAAAACTAATTTCAAAAATTAATTTTTAAATCTCAATCAAAGTTCATAACTTTTTAATCATTAGAAATTTAAGAAGATGTCAGTTTGATCATTATTGTACATTTGAGTCCAATAATAAAATTTTGGGTAATCTAAGGCAAGTCAGAAATAATTGATATTTTGTTGCAGATTGCAACTCCTGTTGCAACTATTTCAGAGGTTTGAAAAAGGAGAGGTAAATTTTTTCTAGTGTAATGAAGTAGCATATTGCATTTTTTTTATTGCATTGAAGAATGATTTTTAATGGATAGAGAAGAGGAGCTTGAAGAAGTTCTAAGATTTGTACATAAATAAATTATTTGTCTGTAAACTGTTTGATGTTCATAATTTACAACTGCGATTCTGGGAAAGCTTCCCATTGCTATTAAAGTATATTATTTCCTTAATTAATAGTTGATTTTAAAAAAGCACATTATTCAATTTATGGTAAGAAAAGTGGATTTATTTGAATTTTGACACTAATTTATATTGTGAGATAATTATCTCATAATATAAGCTAGTGTCAATTTTGATTAATCAGATTAATTTAAAATTACTTTTTTTGAAAAAAGCTAAAAATGATCTCACACATAAAACAGAACAGTTAAATATCATTAAAAAAATAAACACATTAATGAATAGTATTTAATTAGATTGAAAAAAAATCATTTCAAAATTTTATTTAAGCATTCAAAAATTAAAAAAAAGTATTACTGCTACGGTAAAAAAAAAAAAATAATGCTGCATTTAGAATATTAAATACTACATTTACTTTGATAAAAAAAGTAATCCAGTAAGTGACAATTACTTTTGCTCTTTTTATATTATTTTTAAGCAATATGATATAAAGAGAAGGTTTATGGAAAAAATAATTCGAGTTAAAAGAATGATTATGAAAAAGAAAAGAAAAACCTAAATTAACACTTATGTAAATGAAAGCTAAATGATAATGCACTTTTATCTTACTAAATATTTTATAGCTAAATTATATTTTAATGAATTACATTTAATGATGGTTCTTATAATTTTATTTTAAATTAAAATGCTGAAGAGAAGTAGAAAAATAATTGAGCTAATAAATATTGATTATTGATTGATTAGGATTATTGATTATTATTGATTGATTACTGATTATTTTGAAAATAATTGAGCTAAAATAATTATTAACTACTAAATAAAAAGTAATTAACTGACTAAAATAAAATTTCGCAAAACAAAAAAAAAATTAATGCGTAAGTTTTTTCAATTGCATGCTTAAAAATTATAATGATCAATGCTACAGAATAATTATGCTAAAACCAAGTTCTTAAAATTCTACTTATCATTCTACATTACATTATCTTATAATAAAGAAAATTATATTTACTAGCAGCTGACGACCATCTTCATTTGCTAAGACAGTTTCAAGAGTTTGTTGAATATAAATACCTTCGTCCAATTCTTCTAGAAAACTAGGGGGGAAAGGTTTTTAAACTCAATGATATAATGATCAATAAAACTTGAATGATTCTGTGCTAAAATTAACACAAAAAATAAAATTACTGTCATATTTTTGGCTTAGTATCATAATTTAATATCAAGCACTGAATAATGAAAAGGTTACTTTGCCATTAAATAAATATTTGTAACAAAAAGTTTTTGTCATAAAATAATAAAAAAGTATAACAATGTAAATAAAATAAGAGATTTCACATTTTAGTTCTAAAAAAGAACATTTTAGATCCAGAGTAGCCTTTCATGAGAGAAAAATGTATATCCCTAATTTCACACTTCAAACATTAAATAATATGTACATATTTTGTAGAGATAGATTTTCTCATATTAAAAGATGTTACTAAATATTTTATTTAACCTACCTGAAAATTTTTTTTTTAAAAATTCTTAAGATTCAATTATTTACATCTCTGGAACACACTGAAAAAACTATTCTACAGTTCATATTCTGTCCTGATTTTCAACACAACTGCCTATGTTTTAACACTTCATTCAATATTATTAAAGTTATTTAAAAACAATACAATTAATGTTTAGTTTTAAGATCTCATATGCTAGGCCTTAAAGTAATTCTAAAAATTTAAGTATTTAATTACCAACGTTTGTTCTATGCAAAAAATATGGATATTTTTATTTATTTAGTTTCAATTTCAATGTAAGACAAATAAGATGATAAAGGTGACATCATGAGGAGAAAATATATATATATATTTTTTTTCTCAAATGCATGTAAAGCATAATTATAAGTCCAGAAATTGCTGGGCATATCAAAAGAAATTATAGCATTTGAAAATTTAAATTATAGCATAAGTTTTTTTATTTTTGCATTTATTTAAAACTTTAGAAGGAACAAAAATACTAATAATAACAATGATCTTATATAAAAAGTTCTTTGTCTCAATGCATTAAAAAGCTGTTGAAATTTTAAAACATAAATTTTATGCCAAAAGAATAAGAATATAAAAGAGTAAAGAAAAATAAAAAGAAAGAATATAAAAAAAATAAATAAAATTTTCCAATTTTTAATAATGTTAATTAATTTATTGTAAACATTGAAAATGATTCAACAATTGGGTAATTTGGGGCAGAGTCTAGATGATTACTTATCACAACTACCACCTGTCCTCTGATCGAACATAATGGTAATGTAGTGGATGCATTTGCTGGTATAGTCTTTGAATAATAGCCAAGAGTGAATAATTTTGTCAACAGTCCACTAGTATAGCTCTATTGTCTCATAAACAACCAAATGAAATTAAAGAGCTTGAATAGCTTAAGAAATAATAAATTTAATCAGTCAAATTATACTACTTACTGGCCGAAATCTGTAATATATTTTTGAACGCTTTCAAAAGCCAAGTAAAATCTAGTCAGTATGTCAAGATAGTTTTCCTTAAATTCTTCATCTCTATCTTGCAATTGCTAAAAAGAAATAATACAATGCAAATAATCTACATCATTTCCAGTTATATTATACACACACATATCTATATACAATCTCATTTTACGTTTACTTATTCCTAAATTAACAATATGTTTATGAATTCAACTTATTATGCAATTTAATTTATATGACCCATTGTTTAATTTTACATAGCATATAACATTTTAATAAAATAATAATTTCTAACATTTTCAGCTTAATGGCTCGCGGGGGTGACCTCAAATATGCTAATTATTAAGTGCAGACGATATTTTAAGTTATGAATTCAGACACAAAAACGTAATTTCTCTGAATAAATATAAATTTTTCTTGTCAAATTCGACTTTCTAACCCCCAAAACGCAGGGGGTAGCAGCAATCTGAGAAATATGGTACACGACAAAATACGAAATTTGATTAAAATCGGTCGATTAGTTGCTGCAAATTTGAGTTTTAAATATTTTTATTATTATTTTTCTTTTTTTGAAATTCAATTCCTCAGAAATTATTCAACATTGCTCAAATTTTGTATTTTAGCAAGCAAAATTATATTCCTTTAAATGATGCAAAAAATTGTATACCTTACAATTCAAAATTTTTTCAACCATTATTAAATAAAAGAATAAATATTAATATTAAAAATTGTTTTTTGGATGGAATTATCTTTGGAAAAACAAACTTTATAAATGATTCCAAAAACTTTTCAATTTACTTAAAAAGTTCTAGAGATTCAGCGAAATATGCAAAAAATTAAATTAACATTAAGAGGTTCAAAGTTTGAAGTGCTCTCCTGACCAAACTATGGGGAACATATTTTCCAGATTGCGGCTACCCTCTCTATATTGAGAGTCAGAAATCTGAGTCCGTTAATAAAATTGCCTATTTTTATTCCGGGAAAGTACGTTTTGCATCTAATTTATAAATTAAAATATCGTCCGCACATATCGATTAAAAAGTTTGACGCTACTGCTTCTAAGTGTTTTGAAAGTACAAGCTTGTTGTTTTTTACTCCTCTATTGCTTCAAGCATCCAATTACAGCATGGTAATAAACAAAATTACCTTTTGTCCAACATACTTTGTTCTTTTCATTTTATAATATTTGGAAAAAAAAATATTAAATCTATTCTGTAGAGAGGTTTAAACCGAAAATTCATTTTTACAGGCCTAAGTTCTTAAAACGCTGTCCCTACTATTAAAAAAAAGCAATTCAAATTTCATAAGTACTTTCCCCTACATCATTTTATAAATATTGCGCACATTTAAAAAAAAAAAAAAAGGAAAAGCAAAATTTAGTTAAACCGAACAAACACAACGGTAAGTAGTATGTTAAAATGTTATAACACAGATTAAATGCACAACTATAAATTAAACGTACAGGATTTGATTCAATCTTGTTCTCATAAAAATCCGTTATTTTAAAATAACTAAAATCACATAAAACATCACTGTATTTATTAATGTCATTTTTTGATTCAAGGCGAAAGACTTGCGGCACAACATCAGACAAACGAAGAAGCTCGGCAATAATTGCATTTCCCCGCGAAACCAATCTTAGCAAATTTTGACCACAAGCATTGTTTTCGGCTAAGAAATCAACCATTTTTATACTACTTATTATAAATCATCCATAAACCAAAACTCAATCCCACACTCTACGGAGAGAGCAGAAACCAATTTGTTTACTAAACACACAACACACCTCCTTGGGTCAAAACGTTGCCAATCATTAAAAGATAAAATAGAAAGCTGAGGGACGGTTTACACTTTATTTGATTCACGCATCTCTAGTAAGTTTTGTGTTTTAATTTTCCTCTTTGTCTTATTTTTAAATTCACTGGATGAAAATGTCGTCTCCACAACTCATCACGGGCAAATTATGAGGAAGGTAATTCTTCGAGGATACAATTCGTCATGGAAACAGATCGTCAAAGCGAAATTTGCCATGAGCACATTTCATTTCGGCGACAATTCGCCGTGTGAATAATTCGTTGCAGCTATGATTGGCGATGCACGCGACGAATTGTCCCTACGAGTTGAATTGTACCCACTATGATTGTTGTTGCTGTTGTTGTTAATTTACGTCGCACTAGAGCTGCACAATGGGCTATTGGCGACGGTCTGGGAAACATCCCGGAGGATGATCCGAAGACATGCCATCACAATTTTGATCCTCTGCGGA